CGCAGCATTGCAAATATCGTGCATCGATACACCGGATGAGAAGGCCTTGGAGGCCACCATACCTCTAGTGGAATGAGCCCTGACACCCAGTTGCGAGGGGAGACCAGAAGACTCGTATGAAGTAGTGATAGCATCCACTATCCACCTGCTGAGGGTCTGCTTGTTCGCAGGAAGACCCTTCTTATAAGGACCGTAGCATACAAATAACTGGTCCAACTTTCTCCACAGGGCAGCTCTGTGGATGTATGTGTTTACATTAAGCTTTTCCTGGTCAGGGTCATGAAAAGGAGGAGGACAGAATGCCTGTAGAACGACTGGCCGTGGAACAACAGAAGGCACCTTTCGGACATACCCCGGCCTGGGGTACAGAAAAGCTCTGGCCATACCACGCGCAATCTCGAGACATGATGGGGCCACTGACAGGGCCTGCAGGTCACCGACTCTCTTCAGGGAAGAGATGGCTAGTAGAAATACAGTCTTAACTGTAAGAAATCTCAGAGAAACCTCTTCCAGGAGTTCAAAGGGAGCTTTCGAAAGGGCCTCTAAAACCACAGCCAAATCCCAAGTAGGCATCCTTGGACATACCGGAGGCCTCAGCCTCCTGGTACCCCGGAGGAAACGTGTTACTAACGGGTTCTTCCCCAGAGACTGCTCACCCACAGGGGCATGGTGAGCAGCAATAGCAGCCACGTAGACATTCAAAGTGGAGGAGGATAACCCTGTGGCAAATCTCTCTTGTAGAAATTCCAACACTGGCCCAACAGGGCAGACGACTGGGTCCAACTGATGGCTGTGACACCATGAAGTGAACAGTTGCCATTTAGTAGCGTACGATTTCCTCGTAGAGGGAGCTCTGGACTGGAGGATGGTCTTGTAGTAAATCAGCTCAAAAGGGAAATATTTATGACTAATTATAACTGGTTATGATTAATAATAAATATTTAGATTAGATCTTCGAATTAACTGTAGCAGAATCAATATTACCACTACTAGGCTGAGAGAACTGAGGAGACAGGAGTGGCATCAAGCTCAAGGCTATAAAACCTGATGAAGGTCAGAGGGGTGGACCATCCCGCAGCATTGCAAATATCGTGCATCGATACACCGGATGAGAAGGCCTTGGAGGCCACCATACCTCTAGTGGAATGAGCCCTGACACCCAGTTGCGAGGGGAGACCAGAAGACTCGTATGAAGTAGTGATAGCATCCACTATCCACCTGCTGAGGGTCTGCTTGTTCGCAGGAAGACCCTTCTTATAAGGACCGTAGCATACAAATAACTGGTCCAACTTTCTCCACAGGGCAGCTCTGTGGATGTATGTGTTTACATTAAGCTTTTCCTGGTCAGGGTCATGAAAAGGAGGAGGACAGAATGCCTGTAGAACGACTGGCCGTGGAACAACAGAAGGCACCTTTCGGACATACCCCGGCCTGGGGTACAGAAAAGCTCTGGCCATACCACGCGCAATCTCGAGACATGATGGGGCCACTGACAGGGCCTGCAGGTCACCGACTCTCTTCAGGGAAGAGATGGCTAGTAGAAATACAGTCTTAACTGTAAGAAATCTCAGAGAAACCTCTTCCAGGAGTTCAAAGGGAGCTTTCGAAAGGGCCTCTAAAACCACAGCCAAATCCCAAGTAGGCATCCTTGGACATACCGGAGGCCTCAGCCTCCTGGTACCCCGGAGGAAACGTGTTACTAACGGGTTCTTCCCCAGAGACTGCTCACCCACAGGGGCATGGTGAGCAGCAATAGCAGCCACGTAGACATTCAAAGTGGAGGAGGATAACCCTGTGGCAAATCTCTCTTGTAGAAATTCTAACACTTGCTCAACAGGGCAAACGACTGGGTCCAACTGACGGCTGTGACACCATGACGTGAACAGTTGCCATTTAGTAGTGTACGATTTCCTCGTAGAGGGAATTCTGGACTGGAGGATGGTCTCAACAACCTCGGTTGAGAGACCGGATGCTATAAGCTGTGTCCCCTCAGGGGCCACACCCACAGCTTCCACAACACCGGGCGGGGGTGAAAGATGGTGCCCCCCGCCTGTGAGAGGTGATCCCGCCGGATGGGAATCTCCCATGGAGAGTCTTCTAGTAGGGCTACCAGGTCCGCAAACCATGGACGGCCCGGCCAGTACAGGGCTACTAACAAGAGACGAACCCCGTCCTGGCGAACTCTCTTCAGAACTCCCGGAAGCAGAGCAATTGGGAGGAAGGTGTACAGACGAAGCCTCGGCCACATCTGTACCATGGCATCAAGCCCCAGTGGAGCTGGATGAGTCAGAGAGAACCAGAGGGGACATTGTGAGGTCTCTCGAGACGCAAACAAGCCTACCTGGGCTCGACCAAACTTCTTCTAAATCTGCTCCATCACCTCGGTGTGGAGTTTCCATTCCCCGGGCCTCAGCCCCTGTCTCGACAGGAAGTCTGCTCCCTGATTGAGGTGCCCAGGAATGTGCACTGCCCTCAGGGAGAGCAGTTTCCCCTGGGCCCACAGAAGGATCTCCCGTGCCAGCCTGTACAGGGGGCGCAAGCGCAGACCCTCCTGGCGGTTGATATAAGAGACCACTGATGTGTTGTCTGTGCGAACAAGCACATGATGGCCTCTCAGGTCTGGGAGAAAATGTTTCAATACTTGAAATACTGCCAGCATCTCCAGGCAGTTGATGTGCCAATTGAGATGGGGACCTTCCCACAGACCTTGGGTGGAGCGGCTACTCATGACCGCTCCCCAGCCCGTGAGGGAGGCGTCCATCGTTAGCGTTACGCAACGACATGGAAGCCCCAACACGGGGCCTTGTGACAGGAACCATGGTTTCTTCCACATGTCTAAGGCATGTAAGCATCGCCGCGTGACCATTATCATGCGAAACGGGTTGCCCCTCGGGGAAAACACTTTGGTCCTGAGCCACCACTGCAAGGGTCTCATGTACAGCAGGCCAAAAGGTATCACATTGGACGTAGCTGCCATTAGACCCAACAGCTTCTGAAACTACATCAGAGTGGGTGACTGGCCTTCTCTCACTCTCTTGACTGCCGTGAGGATCGACTCGATCCGATCAGGAGACAGACGTGCCTGCATTGTGGTTGAATCACACATCACGGCCAGGTAAGTGGTCCTCTGTAATGGAAAAAGCACACTTTTCTTTGCATTTAGTCTTAACCCCAACTCTTTCATGTGAGCAAGAACGACATCTCGATGCCGAACTGCTATCTGCTCTGATTGAGATACTATCAACCAATCGCCAATGTAATTGAGTATGCGGATGCCCTGGAGTCGCAGGGGAGCCAGAGCAGCATCCACACACTTCATGGAAGTGCGGGGTGAGAGTGCCAGACCGAACGGAAGAACTCAATATTGGTACGCTTTGCCCCTGAAAGCAAACCTTAGGAACTTCCTGTGTTGAGGAAGGATGGATATATGGAAGTAAGCGTCTTTCAGATCTATAGTCACAAACCAATCGTCGGACCTGATTTGAGACACGACTTGCTTGAGCATAAGCATTTTGCTCAACAATCGAAGATCTAGAATTGGCCGAAGCCTTCTTATTGAAAATGATGGTCCTCAGACCCATCATCTCCTTAGAATAACTTCAACCTGGAGCGCAGCCCCCCCTCCTGCCTTTCTCTCTGAGGAGGAGTGCGAGTAGCAACGCTCCGTTTTTGGACTTCTCGATGTGAGGAGCTGGTACACGGCTGGGGCTGATCCCACCTATCAACCCCATGAGAACGGCTAGGGAGAAATCGCTGAAATGCGGCCGCTTGTTTCTTGGCCTCCTGGAATCTGGAATCCGTCGCCGAACAGTCCAGAAGGCACTAGCGGGGCGTCAAGGAGAAAGACCCTGTCTTTATCGTTAATATTAGACAGGGTCAGCCATAGAATATCTCTCCGTGGCCACTAGGGCTGCGATAGACCGCCCAATTGCTCTGGCGGTCTCCTTTGTGGCCCGGAGCGACAAATCTGTGGCTCTACGCAATTCAGTGATGTCATCGTTTTTAATCTCTTCTCCCACATCCATCTCTTTTAGCAGGTCAGCTTGGTATGCTTGCAACACAGCCATAGTGTGCAAGCAAGCTCCAGCCTGACCCGCTGCCGTGTACGCTTTACCCACCAAAGCCGAAGAAGCCCGAAGTGGCTTGGTGGGTAACACCGTCTTAAGGGAAGATGCACCGCCAAGCGAAAGATAGCCCACAAGCATATCCTCAACCCGGGGAATCCTTCCATAACCACGCTCATTCAGCCCTACTACATTTGAATAGTGTGAAACATTTGGACTGAAGAGGCCGGCCGAATATGGTTTATCCAACAATCTAGATACCTCAGTATGCAGATCTGGGAAAAATGGCAGACCCCGGCGTGGAGGCAGTGACTTTGATCGCAGGAAGCGTTCGTCAAGCTTGCTTTTAGGATGCTCCTGCTGCTCTTTTTCTGCTGGCCAATCGATATTTAACTTGGCCACCGCTCTAGTCACTACCTCCAACAGCTCCTCAAACAAGACAGACTGTGGTGGCAAGCAACAGACTGTGGTGACTGTGGTGGCACAGCAACATATAAAATATAATTCATTATATTGTAGTGAGTATTTTACCAGTGCCCAGTTCTTTTGAGGATGACTCTTAGAAACCTGAATTGGATTTCCCTGTAACAGGTCAGGATAGAAAATTGTGCACAGTATATAATATTACACAATATAATGTATTATATATTGTATATTTTATTTATTACGTAACATATATTAAGAAACCAAATAAGATCAATTTAAATTTTATGTTGACTTTAAGTTGCTTAATTACTTACTGATCATATTTTGTTGATATTTTTACTGGAAACCCAGAAGAAATAGGGTTTATTTTGTAATGAAAGGTTTATTTTTATTTTTTTGTAATGTATACACCATTGCTTGTCTCAAATAAAACATTTTTTTCCATTGCATGGATAGACTGTATCAGTTTTAAGTAAAGCCCTGAACATTCTGCTATTGTGTGTCAAACAGAATTTTGTCAACCGGTATCCACACTGGGAGAAATTCATGATGGTCTGTCTCAGAAGAGTGAGAGTGAGCAGCCACAGTTTCTTTCTGGAGATGAAGCTGATGCCGACCTCAGTCTGGATCAAGACCAGGAACAGGATCAAGAGCATAGTAACAGTGAAGAGACTGTTACGACACCTACAAGAAAAAAGGACATTAAGGTAATAAGATACTATTTCATGAGAAATCACATATTCAGAAGAAATTTTACAAATTCTACTACATCTCCTATTTTACCTCCCTGCAATAAATAAATAAACATAAACCTTCAGTAACAAATATAGATATGTACATTTATTATTATTATTATGTGTGTGTATTATATATATACAGGGGGTGCATACAAGTGGTGTGCATGCGCGACCAAAAAAAATAAAAATTGCTGTGTAAATAGTTAAGACCGCTAATTTGTGTACCGACATGGCTGACAAGTGATCCACAATCAACGATTTAGATCGTCTAACTGTAATACTGTACTGTACTGTAAGATTTCCAATCAAACTGAAAGCATAAATCTTGGCTATGCACTGCCAGTTTCATATACTTACAAACCCACCAAAATAAAAGCTTGCTGATTTAAAAATAATAATAAAAATAAAAAAGTAAATATTAGCATTGAATTTTTAATTGTACTATAAATAATTATTCAATAAAAAATTATTTTTATTTAAAACTCACTTTTTACTTCAAAATATAATAGTATTATCACACTTCACACTCTATTTATTATTCTGTTTATTTTATTTAAAAATGTAAAATAAATACTATAAATACTAATACTATTATCACTATAATTAATTATTTTATTTTATAGTTTTATGGGACACACTATGTTCAGCTATATAGTATTATTATTATTGTTGTTGTTGTTGTTGTTGTTGCTGTTGTTATTATGGTTTTGGATTCCAAGTACAAGGCTCCAGATGCACCATGGTGTGAACATGTCTATTTTTGAGGAATTGTACTTTTCTGAACAAAAATTTTGTTTGTAAAACACTGCCAAATGTTATTAAAGGGGTACTTCACCCAAAAATGAAAGTTCATTTTCATGTTTTGGTGAACTATCCCTTTAAGTAGGGATGTGCGAGACTAGTCAACTAGTCCAGGGTTCCCTTTCGTGATGGTCTCTCGACATTGTGTATAGCTTGCTGACGATATGGGGAAGCACCTTTCTTAGACCCATGCTTGAATTATCCTTGCCTGCAACCAACTGTGACATACATCTGCTGTTTTCTCTCTCTAATGCTGTCTCTTTTGAATTACTTAACTCTTTTAGAACACATTAACTCTTTCCCCGCCAAACACTGAATTTTACATTATTCATGAGACAACGATTCCCTGACAAACACGGAATTTTCCTGGTTTCTGCATTCTCAATGTTATACACTCAGGGGCGCTATTACGCATCTCCTGAATGAGTCTAGAATCACTCGATCAAAAACACAGACGAAGAAGATGCAGAAACGAGCGATCTCATATGTAAGCATATGCAATTATCAACACTAAACCGCATATAAATTAAAACTGCCTAATGTTACAGCACTCTGTGTAGATCCAGGAAGTGGTAAAGGACTGTGCAAGCTTTGGGGTGCTGATGAAAGTGATCTACTGCATATTTGCTTTGATCATTGTACTGAATATGATTCAGATGTAGTATTTGATAAAAATGCTCAAAATTTTGCTTTTTTTATGAAACCTACCTACATTCAAGTGTTTGACTGCTTGAAGCTAGAATAAAAACAGATGTTTTTGTTTAAAAGTAGAGGGTCTGTTCTTTATTTTGATGTATTGCATGTTCATATATTCATACAACAGACTATTCTGGGGGCTATGAAAATTTTGTGAAAATCATCAAAAATGCTGGTGGTGGCTGGCAACATTTTCCAAAAACGCTGGCGGGGAAAGAGTTAAGCAATGCTATAATTCATTTCTTCCATTAAACATTTCCCAGCTAAAGGAGGAAGCATATCTGGGCCTTAATACGCAGGAGGTATTTTAAAGCATCAGTGTCTATGGTTTTATCTACATTATACATTTCCCTTTTAATTCAAATCAGCATTTTGCTTGAGATCATAGTGAACATTTGCGTTTTTAGACATATTTCAGGAGGCCACGTGTTATTATATGAATAGTTAACCCAAAAATTAAAGTTCATTTAAATTGTTTGGTGAACTATCCCTTTAAGTAGGGATGTGCGAGACTAGTAGACTAGCCCAGGGTTCCCTTTCGAGATGGTTTCTCAATGTTGAGTACAGCTAGCTGACGCTATGGGAAATACCTTTCTTCTCGAAATAACACCATTGCATTGCAGTGGCCAGTGGTGCTCAAGTGCACAAAAAGGGGGTGGAAAATCTCCCTATATAAGCAGCGCTGAGTGACATTTCCTCAAGAATCATTCTCCTTCATCTCACCCTTTGGCGTTACAGTACAACTCATTGACAGTTGCTTACACTACCTGCTGTTTATGCCAGCACTTGTTGCCCTTCTAAGAAAACAGACCTACCCTGCTTCAATGTTGTGGTGATGTCTAAGGTTCAAGCTAAAATTCCCCACTGTTCGTTTGAGTAGAGTACATGTTGTGAATTATTGGGACAACTGGCTGCTTATGGCCCAATCAGAGGATGTGCTATGCAGCCACAGAGATCTGCTTATCAACCAGCTGTGGTGCTTAAGGGCTCACAGTCAACTTAAAAGCCATCTCCAAAGAAATGTGTGTTCCCTTTCTGAATGTGAGTCTCAACTCTCCCAGACAGCAACATAGTGTTGGCAACTGTCTGCTGTCTGGGCTGTCTTCATGCGAGCCCATCTTATCCATCTGTACACAACCTATCATGAACTCGCTCGCGATGTTCAAAGAAGGGAAGTCGCTCCCACTATAGAGCTTTCAGAGAACACTCAGTTTGATGGCAACTGCCACAGCAATGTGACATTGGACTACTTTGCATGCAGGTGCTCCACTCTGTTTGAAGATCTGCATTCCTGCACACACTTGGCACTAGGGCTCACTGCACATATTGGTGACTCACAATTGCCTAGAGACACTGGCTCACTGGAGGAGAACAGCTCTTTAAGACCAGCTGCTGGGCGGACACACTGTCAAGGTACGGGGTAGCTCAGGGAAAATGGTAGCTACACCATCGGACAGTAGATGCAATTATGGAGTGTATTTGGGCAGGCAGAAATTGGGCACCCCTTCATGTCAGTGGAGAACACTCACTGCCCGCTGTTTTTCTCTCTGGCAGAGCATTCCACACTGGGAGTGGATGCTCACTACTGGCCAAGAGAGAGCACATTTGCATTTCCCACAGTGAATATGCACCAAGTATTGTGCAAAATCAGCCAGGGGAATGAGTCAGTGCTGTTAGCCCTGGTTCCCGGAACTGCTGGAGATGCTGTCAGGTCCCCCATTGCCCATTCTCCTGAAAAGGGATTTCCTCTCTCAAGCAAATGACTCATTTTGTCATGCCCAACCCAAACGTACGGAATCTGCGAGTTTGGCCGCTCAACAGAGCCTGCCAGCATCAGTTTCACTTCCAAAGCAAGTGCTGAGAATGATTTCTGAAGCGTGTCTACTAGACGTAAAACTCCCAAATGGAAAGTCTTTGTGAATTGGTGCAGCTCTAGGGATGAGGTTTTGGTAAGCTGCCCGATCCCAGTAGTTTTGTCCTTCTTACAGGAACCTTTGGGTGACAGCTATACCCCCTCTACGCTCAAAGTGTACATGGCTGCTGTATCAGCTTTTTATAATTAAGTGGATAACCAGTCGGTTGGGAGAAATTATCTGTTTTTAAAAAGTTTGTATGTGGTGCGAGACAACTCTCTTTCAAAACAGAGCTTTTACTCACACTTGCTACCGTTAAGAGAGTCAAGCAATATGCATGCTATTTCAGTCAGCGAGACTTGCATGGTTTTTGGCATGTCTGTAAAGCTGTCCTTAAAGCGTTAGTTCACCCAAAAATGAAAATTAGCCCATAAATTACTCACCCTCAAGTCATCCTAGGTGTATATGTCTTTCTTCTTTCAGACGAATCCAGTCGGAGTTATATTAAAAATTGTCTTTGATCTTTCAAGCTGTTTAATGCCACTCAGCGGGTGTTGCATGCATCAGTCCAAAAGAAATTAAATAAAAAGCGCCAATCCATTAAAAAAAAGTGTCTCACACGGCTCGGGGGGGTGAACAAAGGCCTCCTGTAGCAAATCGATGCGTATTTGTCAGAAAAATATCCATATTCAAAACGTAATAATCACTTTAATGTAGCTTGTGCCAACAGTTGTACACAGAAGCAGCTCCTGATACCTCCTGACCTCATACGTCATCCGCCCGGAGCTGCTTCCGTGTACAACTGTTGGCGCAAGCTACATTAAAGTGATTATTACGTTTTGAATATGGATATTTTTCTAACAAAATCGCATTGATTCGCTTTTTATTTAACTTATTTGGGACTGATGCATGCAACACCCGCTGAGTGGCATTAAACAGCTTGAAAGATCAAAGACAATTTTGAATATAACTCCGACTGGATTCGTCTGAAAGAAGAAAGTCATATAAACCTAGGATGACTTCAGGGTGGGTAATTTATGGGCTAATTTTTTTTTTTGGGTGAACTAACCCTTTAAACCAAGAGCAGACCATAGTATGTGCCTAAAGTGTTCTTAAAACAGTTCAGAGCCATTGATATAACTCTCTCAGCTTTCACCCTGAGTGAGTCGGCAGCTGGGGAGGATACACCAACCCTCTACGCACAACTAGATATAATCGCCATTGGCTAGTAAATTTTTTTGTTTACTCGCCAGACTGATATACTATTTCACACACAGACACACACACACACACACACACGTTTACTTAGCTATCTAAATGGGAATATTATATAGACTTCGATTGTTTTTATATACAGATAGTTATACACTTTTTAAGACTCTCGCTCTCTCTCTTTGCATGTGTGAGAAACAGCGCTATCAGTAAAGCGACGGCGAGTTGTGCGCCTTCACACTAGTTTACGGTACGTCAAATACAGGTGCGCTGCGTGCTACATACTGCGCATCCATTGAGTACGTGACATGATCCATTGAGCGCATCCAAATTGTACAGATAGCTTGACGGAGAGCGAAACTCTCAAGCGCTCAGTCAGCGTGTTTATCGAGTGAAAATCTGTGTTGAACGCCTCTCACACACATACTGGCGTGTAAAATCTAAGAATTTATTAGCCAATGGCTAATGTTAGACATTATTTAGTCGCCCAGAGTACGATTTAGTCGCATATGCGAGTGATTTACTCGCAATGTAGAGGGTTGTACACCCACACTGCCACACCTGCAGCCACTCTGCCTTGTGTGCTTTGTGCATTTACCAGACAGTTAGATTCTCTGAACAGCTGTTTGTTTGTTTTGGTGGCTGTTATTCAGTGGAAAGATTCTAAAGTATATAGCCACTCAGTGCCACTTATATTGGGTTCACCTCTTGAGCTTCTGAAAATTGTCGCCAGCTTGGCATGCAGTATAGTCGAACCATGTACACAATTGTGCTTTGACACAATTGTCATATTAACTGACTTATAATGTTTGCAAGGACTCACAACTTCCCGAGTGTCCAAACTCGCATAGTGTATGCCTGGCTTAAGGGAGGCATACAACATGTGCAATGCTGAGGGCTTCCAGTGCATGTTTGAAAAACCCTAGATTAGTCGACTAAACCAGGGGTTCTCAAACTTTTTGGGGCCCGAGACCCCTGGGAAAAAAATTCTATTAACCCCTATATAATTATAATGGTGGTTAAGCATGTGCTTTTCTACAATGTGCACATATATTTTAGCTTAAAAACTGAAAAAATTCACTAAAAGGCAACACTATTGGTGGCAGTCGTGGCCTAATGTTTAGAGGGTCGGTTTTGTAACCCAAAGGTCACAGGTTCGAGTCTCGGGACCGGCAGGGATTGTAGGTGGGGGGAGTGAATGTACAGCGCTCTATTCCACCTTCAATACCACAACTGAGGTGGGAGCCTTGAGCAAGGCACCAAACCCCCAACTGCTCCCCGGGCGCCGCAGCAAAAATGGCTGCCCACTGCTCCGGGTGTGTAAAAGTGTAAAAGTGCAGAGTGCATGTCAGTTAAAACAAGTGGTCATGAGCACTTGTCTACTTGTTTTTAACTCACATGCACTCTGCACTTTTTGCATGATGCAATTTATGAAATAAAAAAATGTTTTGCTAGACTTTTTCAGTCTGTGTTGGATTCAGTGTGTGGCTACCTTCTTGTTCGTATTCTAGTATTCCTTTGGCTCTATGCACCTGCAGTAAAATTATTATTTTTTTCCTATTTGGAGCACTACAATTTTTCTTTAGTTAACACAGTTTAATTCTCACACTTAGTCTTTAACTGCTATTTCTGTACAGGTTATGTAGCAATGAGAAAGCATTATCTTAAAATGTAGATCAGTATGCATGTGCAAGGAAATCCATCCAAATGAAATATACCTTTTTATCTCTGTTTCTCAAATGCCAATGATTACACCCATGCCAAGTTGCCGACCCCTGCTCTAGTTTTTGGGCATTTTATTCTTCTTCAACTAGTCCAACATCTCCAGATAAAGTTTGTGCTGTTACTTCCCTGGACTAAAAGTTGTTGTGTATAGTGTCTGCATACAGTTGATGTCCAATATCTACATCTAACTGAAATCTTCCAAAAAAAAACTTTTTTCCTATCTGATCCTGTTTAATCCTGATCTGTTCTTGCTCTTGTGTTTCTTACTCTCCTGACTTTGTCTGTAACTAACATCAACCTTGATCCTGTTTATTCCTCCATCTCTGCTGCTTTCATCTACCTGTCATCTACACTTGAAGAAGGAGTCAACCCCTCTACACAAACAGGAGGTATCTCTTCCTTAACCCTCATGTGGTGTTCGGGTCCTTTTTGCTCTGTAAACTCGTAAGTGTGATAGGGTTCTGAACACAACACAAGGGTTAAGGTTCTTTTGTTGAACATGTTTTTGTCTAGAGCTGGTTACCCTAGTGAAAAATAAATATACTAAAATGTGTTTGAAATACATTTATTTTATGCTAAGCATACTACAAATACATACTGTACATTACATTACGCATTTATGTACTTAATAAAAATACCCTGCAATTGTACTTTTGGTATGCTAAACTGGTATACTTAAAGACTGCTAAATTGGAACAACTAATTTTGTACTTAATGCACTTTATTTGTAGGGAAATAATGCTGAAGTCCAACTAAATATATACTTAAGTATTTTTGATTGTGCTAAAGTGGAACTATTGCAAGCATACTTTAGGTACACTTTAAATATCTTGCATTTAACAACCGATATTATTCAAAGATCATACAATCCTCATCAATAGTGACATTAAAACACATTTTAGGCTTAATATTAAGAAATGTGCATTGTGCACAAGTAGTACTCCAAATGAAGTTTAGCTATAATTTTTATATGTTAATAGATTTGAACTACACCAAGTATGAAATAAATGTATTTTAACTATATTACTTTTTTACGAGGGTAGTATGACAGTAATCTGCAACAGAAATGAATAAACCAGAAAAGGTTGTGCTGTATAATTTATAGTGATACAGCGGAAGACACATTTGCTTGGCTACAGATAGGGCTGTGTCTCAAACAAGTCAAAACAAGAATCAAACTATTCTCACTCTCAAGGCATCCAGTATTACCACTATATAGACCATAATACACTGTCTGGCCAAAAAAAGTCACTGTCTGTATTTAAATAAACAAATACAAAAGATTATAAGATTGCATCATTATTGCAGTGATTAATATGTTTCTGGCATGTTGTATGTTTGACAACAATTCTTTTAACCCTAACTGATGCAGAGAATGGCTTTTTATTTCTCAAACAACCATGTTGGAAGACGTACCCATGTCCAGTGTTGGGAGTAATGCGTTACAAAAGTAATGCATTACAGTAACTGATTACATTTTGCTGTAACCCAGTAGTGTAAGGCATTACTAATCAATTTTCAGTCATATTTTACTAGGTACATGTTCAGTAACGCATGCGTTACAACACACTTTTAGCCCAAAATTTAATTGTTTAAAGAAAAAAGCAAAACAGCAAGACCGCGAGGCATTAACGAATCAAAAATGCCGCAAGTAAGTTCTATTTCCTGTTCGTGGTCAGTCAATAGTCTGTAGACTGTAGACTGTTGACAATAGACAGTCAATTGGACATGTGTGGTGTCCAAGTTTGTAAATAAAGACTAAACAACAGCTTCTGATATATTTGTTTAGCAATTTATTTATTTCATCTCCCTCTCGCTGGTGGATCTTTGTATTGTGTGGCGTAGTCCAGTGAAGGTGTGTTTAGGGCGGGTTTTACAGGAGTGCTGCGAGGCTACTGGCCCGACTGTGGAAACGTGGCATGATTTCGGCCTCTGTGCTCGAGGTCCGAGGCTATTAGCCCCGCCCGGCTCGCTGTAAGCCTTGGCTCGCACTGGCCAGTGGAAAAGCGGCTAATGGGTGAAGATGGCACAAGACTGTAGCCTACATGCGTGAGATGGACCTATGCGCATCTTGTCATGGCATTAGAGTTTACATATAGTCCTGTTGTGTCTAATATGAATAGACCCAAGCTATTCACAGATATTGCCAGATAATCACTTTACCTCTACCATACTTTTAACAGACTTGGATCGTTTGTGATTCTGGCTGTCATCCTTTCTTGCATTGTCTTGAGCCTTCACTTTGCCAATTATAAGCTATATTGTTAGTAGCCTGGATAGCCCACAGTCATTATGCTACACCATATCGCCCTCTACTGGATGTAAAATGCTCTGCAGTACATTTTGTCATTTTAGAATGTTAAGTATGGTAACACTTTAGAACACTTGTTCGCTATTAACTACGAATTTTCCCTCAATAAATTCCTAATTTGCTGCTTATTAATAGTTAGTAAGGTAGTTGTTAAGTTTAGGTATTGGGTAGGATTAGGGATGTAGAATAAGGTCATG